GGTTTAGCCGCAGTGTCGGGTTCGAGCCCCGGATAAGTCTGCCTTATCCCGATAAGCCGGTGAGTTAATGAATCACAAAACAGGTGGTGGCGCCACTGAGAGATCGTCTTCGTCCTCGAGTTGGCTGTGTACCGTGCGCGCAGCTGAAAATTCTTCCGCGACCGATGAAACAGCGGTAATGGGGGGCCTTTTTCATTTCTTTCTTTTTTTTATTCTTCTTTTCATCGTGGAACAGACCCGACTGATACCGGAGAATTTGGCTTCAATGTTTGTTCACACGCACTCGTTGCCTCGGTTCTTTATCTCAGGGGCCGACACATCGCCCCGGTGCACTGGAGCATTTCACTCTTTTAAATGAAAATTTTGGGCCGCCTGCGCGCGTGCGCTCTACCACGACGCTTAGGCCCAGTCTAATGTCGAGTTACGATAAGCGCCAATGGAATTGTACTCGCTTTTTATACGGAGTGGCTGAAAAGGAAACGACTTACGGACGTGATAGGGAAGTCGGTTTTGAATAAAGAGTTACTTTGAGTGAATACTTCCTCGAGGAGTTGTTAGTATTAACCTGTTAACCGGGGAAGACGAGTTAACACGTTCTTTGTATTCCGAAATTTGTTTCTATAAGATTTCGTTTTGCTGTCTACATATTGGGTGTACCAGTAAGTAATCCATTATATTTTGTAATCACGAGGTAATAAATGTTCAATCAAAAATATGTTGCTGACATTTGACTGAGTAAAAATGGCGTAGGATCTTGGAAAGCTATTATGTTTACAAATTAAGTAATATAGATCCTCGATTTCCATAAAAAACGAATAATGATCTCACGAAAAAGTAATGGATTATTACACCTAATACCTGAAGATTCCTGAATATCTATTATAATATGTATAGGATTTTATATTCATTTTTAATTGTGCCTGTATGGGTGTTGATGATCGGAATGTCGCCAAGTTAATATTTACGTACTCATGACATACTCAAGTGTACAAGATAGAGTAAAATAGATTCCTGGACAAACTTTGTAAGTAGATTGTGGATGTTCCCGTTTTACATCTCTTGCGACTGGTGTTAATAGAAGTAGATGTTGAACAGAAATTTATATTTTCTAGTGGCAACCTTAGGTAGTTGGAAATAAAGATATAAAATTGATCAATTATCAGATTAATAAAGATACAAATAAATACAGATATAAAGATACGGAATTTATTGATTATTAAATTAAAGCAGTGGAAGTGGTGAGTTTGAAATATCTTACGAAAGTTGCTCCAATTAATATCAGTACTTTTTCTGAGATTTTGAGCTTTGTTTGCTAGCACGAATTATTTTGTACACCTATCATATTTATAACGTTAGTAGAAATGGATTATTTTTTGGTATAGTTTCTTTAATGTTGAACCTTTATTTAAGTTTTCAGTTTGCTATATTTGATAGTTTTTTACATACCATAAATGTCTCTATTAATAACGTTTCTATTTCATTTTCCTCTAATTGTAATATCAACCTCCGTAGTTTAAACATAATAATATTTTCATAATTGGCAAGTTTCTCTGCCCCAGAGCCTAAAGAACTTCTAATAACTGTTACCGTGTACCTAACAGTGATACTTTGGAAGTTGCCTGTCCTGCTCTTTCAATGGATTAGGTACATCTTCCCAAAATATGTAGAATTAATGTTCCTGTTAGCAGTTAACAGTGAAAAGAGAAGATTGCAATTCTTATTATTCGAAACAAAGGGGCTATAATAAACACCGTCAGCGGCACAAGAGAAATTTTTAAATTTCAAAAGATGCATGAAAAGTAACCAATAATCTCTCATATTATAAATCATATTACGTACAATGAGAAATGAAAGTATTTAAATGATAAGATTTTCCAAAATTCACTACACACAGAAAGATTGTGAACAAACGATGTTGGTTTAATGGAAATTGTATTTATGTTAGCAATTACGCAGTAAATACATACAAATCTGAGAACAGAAATGAAAGAATCTGTTGATAAATAAAAAAAAAATCATTTATAACTAAAACTGGAGACGTGTAAATTGTGTAAATAGTAAATATGGAAGCATACCAATTGATTATATTATACTAATAAATAGACACCTGAAGTTTATGCAAATTGATAATTTCAGAAACTAACGCCTAAAAATAAAAGTTAAGCAGAATTTTGAATTCGGTACTAGAACCTTCACTCTTTCGATAATAATATATATATAGTGTTAAAGATTATTAAAATGTCTATTTTCTTGCATTTTACAAGTTAAGAGACGCGATAAATACATAAAATATCTGCAGTCTACTAAGAAGATTATATTCTTTTATCGATAATGTAAATTCTGATACTGTGAAAGCAAGTCCAGAATAGCATTTTCGATTACTAATTCTTACACCTAACACTTTATCTATTGGAATCCATTCTCGTTCTTTATGACATTTATATAAACCTTTACCTATATCTACAAATTAACTAGTATTTTTCAAAAGAATCTATTATTACTAACGATAGAAAATAACCATGATATCGGTAGACAACGTTGATCCCCGCCGTCGATTCATCGAATAGTTCGAATCCGTTTTCATCGGTAGCTAATTCCCCCGATTGCATTAACACGCGGGAATCGGTCCGAAATTTTATTCGTGCCCGTCGTATCGGTGATGGAATAACACGATGGGCGCGGTGCTTATCAAGGCTATTCGTACTAATGTTTTATCTGTGCTCGGCTGGCACCTGACAAGAACCAACGGTACAATGTTGCTTTATCGCACGAAAATTTTCAGTGATATTGCAATTAAACTGTCACACACGGTACATACCGTGCCGTTGAGTTAATATCGCGCATAACACACACGTTCTCGATACCTCGAAAACGGGTCCACTTGACAAAACGGAGAGAAAGAATGTCTGTTCAATTTTGACAGTCGTTTTAGTACTCGAGTACCGGGGGCGTAAGTTCAACCACCTAATCGGGCCAGGCTAATGTTATCGAGAAAGAATGTTATCGAGAGAATATTCTGAATACCGATCAGTTTTGTTCCGCCGCGCGAAGACCGCTCGCGATCCATTGAGATCGCAAAATTCGTTGATATGAATGGAACAGAAACGGGGTTACATACAACGAGTTTCGAACAAAGCGTGGTAGACTCGTGAATTTTCACGTCCACGTGTCTGTGTGTGTGTGTGTCTGTACGTGTGCCAAATTACTGCGTCGAACGATACGAGATTTTCTGGAGAGATGCGAGCGATAACGGCGGAACGACGCAGCGCTGCACGATTTCGGAGCAGTATAGGCGACGAAAGTATTTGTCGGTCGAACGGAACGAAATCGATAATATCGCAAATAACGAAATCACACGAATTGACAAGCCCGTACAAGCGATTATCAGCGATACGCGACGAAGGGGAAAGCAACGATTCCGACCCGTATCAGTTCACGATCGAGACACGAATAAAAGCAATTATGCTTGTTACACATGTAAGGATCACAATAAAACAGTTTCACGCAGATAATTTTGTTGGTGATTTTATAGAAATTATTCACGATCATTTTCAGTCAGTTATATTACAGTGGGTGCCAAAAGTTTATGACCGAACTATAACTTTAACGTATCTTTTTAAAAAGTATATTGATATATCCATACACAGTGCTTCTTCAGATTTGATGTTACAAAGTTTCTTGCATAAAAATGATCTGGTCTCCTGTTTCGAACAAATACGGACCTGATAAAAGTTATGACAATGATATGGTGAAATTACAGTTTGGCTGGAAACTTTTGATTGCCATTGTATATATGATGGAATATGCAGATTTATGATTTGTTATTATTTTTATAATATGTCAATAATTTTGTGGGTTAGGTACCTATAACCATCCATACTTTAAGATGGTGAATTTATTCAATACAAGATTATTTGCACATAGGAAATATTTAAATTATTTAGAAAATACGTTTTAATATTGTTAAGCCTAAATAATATTTTTATTGAATAAAATAATTAGTACCTGGGATATTGTATTGCGTGTTAATATGAATGCCAATCAATCACTTGTCAATATGAGAGTAAAATGTTTCTGAATTGTTTTGTTCGCGTTATATTTATATACATCATTTACTTCTGCGAATTGATAAGTACTTTTGCACTGAAGTTCACGAGGAGTGTGCACAGTGTGAATTTAATTTGGAAATAAAAATTCTGTATCAGTAAATTAACTGTTATTTAATTATTTTCCTGTTATTAGTAATTGTAATCATTTGTTACTTTCCGTTGAATTATCAGAAATAATTATGAATTATTGCAATCTATTTTCAATATAAATGAAAGAAATAGATGGAACAAAATGTACGTTGAAAATTTAGATTGTGCATAGTGGACAAACTTTCTGAGCTTCTTTAAGTAATTTATTAGACGCGAATACGGTTCGCTGTCTCAATTCATTGTTTAACTCTCTAGTTGGCTCACACGATCATCGTCTTTGAAATACAGATAGCAGATTACAACTCCACGTTTTATCGCAATAATAGCTTTGGCAGTCTTAAACAAAACAGTAATCAAAACGTTTCACTAACCACTCACAATAGTACATCATGTACAAAAAAAGAACCGAGCAATTAAAATAGATTACCATTGGAATGAAATGCACAACAAATTGATAACCAAAAGATTTTCCAATTTCAGAATTTCCGTTGCTCACTTTAACACGTTCATCCTAATCCATTGATAGGTTAACAACAAAACAATTTTGCAACTTCCTAGATGCCAGATATAAACTGGATAAAATACCTTAAAAGATTACAATTATTTACATTAGGATTCGTCGTCACACACAGGGGTGAATATAATATTTCATTCTATCGCCCGAGTCATGTTTAACCCCCATGGGGAAGCGTAAGAAACCGCACGTGGGGGTTGAACGTGTTAAAAATCAGTGAGCTGATTGCCCCACGGGTATAAACGGGGCCAAGTGTGTGGGCCCCTTTGGTATTGTGACCGACTCACCACGTTTAAGTTTCTCCAGCGGTTCGTGCAACTGATGGGTCGAGTTGTGCAACATGGATGTGTCGTGATGCGAATTCCCGTGAAGATCGGGATGGTGCATCGTTCCCTGAAAGTGGTCACCGTGGAGGCCGGCCATCGCGGATGCGGCGGTGTGCTGATGATGCTGGACCGATAGACCGGTTGTCGATCCGGTAACGAGATCCTGAAGGCACAAATCCCCGTTGCCACCGCCGCCTCCGCCCCCGGCGAGTTCGAGGCTTCCCCCGCCCCCGCCGCCCCGCTCCATACTGAAGAAGGTTAACGTCGTGTTGACTGATCTGTACAACGCAACGCAGGATCAAGGCGGCCTTCGAGAGGCCAAATCGCCACCGGATGGACTCGTCGAATGAGCTTTTTCCTTCGAGCTTCGTCTCAGGATCGCATTCGCCTCGAAACGTTGAATTCTTTTCTCTTCGAGGATTCGATTGGCGGCGACGGCCGTCGGCAAGAAACACGCTCGGTTGTACCGATAGAGGACGACTGACCTCTTCAACGGATCAGCTTAAACGTAGCTCGTTTCACTGGCTCGAACAATCGCGACTCGAGAAAACCTGTTTGTTGCTTTCTATTAGGATGTCCCGGCATTAGGTCCAGTTGTCACCAGAGGATTCCGGAGCGAACACAACTCGTCAGAGGCCAATCACGATGATCCGTCGTCGCGAACCGGCGCTAGGCGACAAACTATGCTCCACCAGGGACCTCTTGTGAATCTTCGGAAGATACGCACGAAGGATTCGTCCGTGGGCTGCGAAGATTGTTTCCATGGATCGATCTCGAACTGAGTCACACGACTTTTACCCTGAATCCGGGCTGCTGCACCGTTCCGGGCACCCGGTCAAACACACGTGTTCCCGGCACTTAGGTTCGAGCAACTGATAAATCAAGATAGCCACGGATCGACGACGAGCGACGACGCGTTACGTAAGGATCAAGAGACGCAGGGAGAATAGGGGAGAATAGTGGGAGATTTAGAAACACCCACGGAGGAAAAGTAGGTTGAACAGCTCGTACTATGGCCGCAATAGGCAGCAGCTTTACATTACTTTTAGATGTCACACGTTTCACGATGATTGCTCGAATCTCGGAATTTCTCAGCAATGCCAATAATCACTGGTCCTCCTTTCGCTCGTATGTCCGATGTAATCACGAAATCAACGGAGACTTTAACGTAGAGGTGCAGTCGTAATAGAATTTCACCTCTTGGAGTCACAGAATACCGTCCTCTATCTAGCAATGTCTGTCCAGTGATTCTTCCTCCACCGTAACAGCTGAACCCCAATGAATCCTCCAGGAACTTGGTCGACGATCCCCACGACAAATCCCGTCACTGCACTTGTTTCTCAACCGCTGGCTCCGAACAATCACTTTCGTGTACTACGTTTAAACGTCGCGATCACCACCGAAATATCCGCGACACCCGAAATGCTCGGACAGCAACACCCCGATATACTGGTCACTCGAACGCGCCACGGTTCGCGCGACGTTTCACCAACCAACGAAGATTACTGACCACGCGGTCTCACCTCACGGCCAAGGATACACCTCTCTCTCTCTCTCTCTCTCTTTCCGTCAAATGTCACCACGGGGGCCGCGCTACATCACGAATCGCCGTGTTACGTCTCGATGGTGGACGTGGGTTGCGACGTCGGGCCGTTGCAGCACTCGTCCGATGCCCGCCTCTTTCTCACCTTAACGGCAGGGCGTTAAGGAACGACGGGGCCACCCCGTCGTCGTCGTCGGGCGTGTGAGAAAGAGAAAGAGGGACAGACAGACGGAAACGTAAGAAAGCGTGAGTGGTGCTGCAGGTCGCGGTAGTATAGCCGGGTTTTCGTAGTAGATGGAACCGTGTAGTGGCCGCGCGTCAGTAGTAGGTGGGTCCGCCAGGCTTAGCCGGTTGAGCCTTTCGGACTGCCTGCCGGCTTAAGTCTCTAAGTCGGTAAGCCGAGCGGATCTAGTGGTCTTGGCTGGTGCACTGGCTGCCTGCTAGCCTGCCTGCCTGCCTGCCTGCCTGCCTTCCTTGCTTGCCGGGCGGCCTGCCTGACTGTCTGACTGCGCCTCTCCCTGGCTCGCTTGCTCTTACTCCCCTCCATCCCGCTTCTTCTCTCTTCCGCTCTCCCACTCTGCTCTCTCGTTATCTCCCTCGTGGTCTGTCTTCGTCCCACCGTTACGATCTCTCACGTCCACGCGCTCGTTTCATCCCTTGGGTTACCGTAGCCGGGTGTCCTTCTTCATCGCGCACAAACTCCCCACCATTCCACTCCGGTTTTCGTTCTCTCTCCGTTCCACTCCCCTTATTCACGCTGTCCTTCTCTCTATTTTCAGTCTCTTGCACTCGCTCGCCCCCTGTTACACGATCTCTCACGCCTGTATCTCCTTGCTTCATCCCCAACTCCCCTCGATTCGACCCCTATTCCACCCCTACCAACTGTCCCGGAATGCTCCTTCTCTTTCGCGCGCTCGTACCTCTCTCTCCGTCCAGCCGTGCTCCAACAGTCACCGGTTCGCCTATGTTCGGTATCGTAGACGCACCTCTCTCCCACTTGCCCCCACTCCGACGACCAGCTGCCCCCTCCAGCGGACCAAGTATCGCCCCTCCTACGTACACACCGGCGCGTCTGTCCCCACGAAACGCACGCACACACCCCCACCACACCCCCCACCCCCTCCACAGTATTTTCGTTTTTCTTCTTTTGCCCTCTTCTATGCGCCGCGAGCTTCGCCTACCTTCTGATTATTGTTTGTTTCTTCCCTGTCGACGTTTGTTGCCTTGGTTCTTCGTGCGTGAGCTTAATTTCTAACGACGCGTTTTACCACGCTACCGTGGAGTTGCTTTCCCAAGGAATGCAAATAGATGCTTTTAGGATTTCGGATTCGAATTGGAACTACAGCGAATTCTTTGATTCGATTGATACGATTTCGACTTCCCGATCTCTGTGTTTTAATGAGAATACTCAACGACGGGTATGCTGATCTGTTTCGTTGCGTTTTGTGAAATAGTTCCGCCATCTTTCTTAGGAACGTTGTAAAATTTATATACGAGCTAGAAAAGCTTCTAAGATACCGTGATTCCCAGTCGAGTGCATACAGTTATCGCTTGTCTTATCTATCGGAGCAAACATCTATCTTCGTGGACTAAAGTAGTCTTGTACTGGGCGTTTCAAATTGATCCAGAGGTGTGTCGAGCATGATATTGTACATATTGGCAAAATGGTGTAACTGCTTATTAGGTGTTCAATGATTTTAACTAACGAGAAACCGTGTTAACACCGTTTCATTTTGTTATATTCTTGTGCCCCTTGAACTTTCAACTGAATTCTTATAAAAAGACGTAAACCTGGTACTTTAATTATTATCATTGTTTCTTTAATTTTACACAGATTGGTTCGATGATGCGTATGACAAGACGATAAACGTATTCTTTACTTCACCCTTCCACGTTATCGAAGACAGTAATTATCATTGCAGTTACTAGTCAGCTAATCTGATCGAAAAAATTCCACGAATCGAATAATCCAACTAATTCGGCCATTTCGAACCGTTGTTTTATCTATTCCTCTTATCGTGTCTCAATGACACCGTTCCAAGTGACCGTATAGCTTAATATGCTTCTAAAATATAATACATTCCAGATCGAACCAACCAACATACAATTTGATAATACTTCTTGTGTTGCTGTATTGAAAATTACTTTTCTGTTTGGCCCTCTTCACGAGGAACTTAGAAAACCTGAGAAACTTTCAAGATCCTTCCTAGTTAACACCATGTGCATCAACCATAATATAACGAATTTTGGAATAAATATAAAATACCTAATATAAAAACATTCAAACGATTGATCCTACAATCTGTCACTGTCTTCCTCATGATGGTACAGACCAGTAACATCCAAACACAAGTCCACACATTCAAGCATCAAAAATCACACAAAGCGCACACTGTCCCGTCGTACCAAAAACTCATCGTCTAGCACTCATTTAGGTCTAAAAAACATAACCTCCCCACAAGAAAAACGTTTCCTCCCCAGGTGTACAATCTTACATAAAAGTATCGACGATTACTGGGTCACAATCAGAGCCCGCGTAAAAGGGCACAAAAGCGTCGCGAGTACCGGGCAGCACCGCGTCGGAGTTCATCGACGGCTAGGAGGAGCAGGAATCGGGAGGGTAACGCTCACGGGGCAGAACGTGGCCCACAAAGGGCACGAGGGAAAGATAAACGCGGCGAATAACAAACCGGATCATTTCGTGCTCGAGAAAAAAAAAAGAAGAGGGAAACCCTCTCGGAGGGACGGTCTGTTCAAAGAAGAGGGCCACCGCGGAGAGGAGTAATGGGGAGGATGGGTTGGGGGCAGGAGGGAGGCCCAGTTGAAGCAGTCGGTGGAGGAAGACGGTGTAGGTACGCAGAAAACGAAGAAGAGCCCACGATACGAAGCGAGGGAGGCTGTAGCCAGCAGTACATACGTCAAGCTAGGGAACAGACCGCCATCCCCGGGATCCCCTAACGCCTCGGGAAAAGTAGAGGAGACAAATGACAAGTTGGCCACGCCCACCGCGTCGCGGCCTGGGCGTAGTGAGCCTGTGTGGGCGTAGTGAGCCTGTGTGCGCGTGTGACTTCGATGTAGTGGAGTGGCGGCGATAGGAGGGGGGAGGGGGAAGTGGGGAGAGTGGCGGCGCTGGTGGGATCGTGGATAACCAAGGGACACGCGGGGAGACGGTCCAGGGTGTTTCCTGATTTTTGAAGCGGCCGACCGAGTTATGGACGTCCCCGCTAGTGTACCGTCTGCTCGGAATTAATGGGCGATGTTGTTAAGAATACAACAGAAACGAACGGGGCCCTTGTCGGTACGACTCGATGACGGATTGTGAATTGCTTTGACATGATACGAGTCTCGGTTATTGGGCTCGAGAAGTAATAAATGACGGTTGAAGATGATGGACGCTATTGTTGTTACGAACGAATCGATAATTATGGGTTAATTACGGGGAGAGGTCCCCAGGTGTAACGCTGACTTTTTAATGATATTTAAGACGATAGAGCTTGGAATTTTGAAGTCGATGATATTTGTTTGAGTCGCGTATGGAAACTAGTTCGCGAGTTATTTAATGTTAAATTTGTAGCCTGTGTGCAGGGTTTTTCCGAACTGGTGGTGCAATCCGAGAGTAAAAATAAATAAAAATTGTAAAAATAAGTCGATAATGTAGAATAAAATTTTCTTGTATGGTGATTTGTTTTCGAGACAAACGGATT